GTTTTCCTTTATTCTGTTTAGATAGTAATTGGTAATGAGTGGTTACAGCAGGCATTTGTAGAGAAATTGGTAGAAAGTCTCACTCTCTATATGGCCTTGTCCAAGGTCAAATTTAGTAGGGAACAACAAAAGCTAAGTTCATAGCTTAATTAATCAGAGGCAAACACATCTCAAAGCATGTGTTGAACTGATTTGTACTTTCTCCCAGGACTTTGATCTTCCAGAGGGAGTGGAGGGGGAACGAGGTTGCTGGCCAGGGGGCCCAGTGGGTCTGAGGCCTCTCTGTGCAGGGTCAGTACCTGAGCACCGGAGGACCCTGGGTGAAGGGCTTTCTGAAGTGACAACACTTGCTGAGGAGTTCTGTCATTCCCTGGTGGTGATGAAACTGTAGACACACACACAAGACTCCTACTTCCAAAACACTGTCAGAAGTGTTAGAAATGAATATTCCAGTTGAAGACACAGGAACAAAGAATTGTCTCAGCAATGCAAAATCATTGCATGGGTGCCAGCATGCACGTGGGCAAAGCCAGCACAAATGGGGCAGGCAGTCTGTTGCCCCTTCTATCCCTGACACCATTAACCTGCCTCTTGACCTGGATTGGTCCAGATCAAAAGTTCACAATCTTCTCCACTAGCTTAAATTCTAGACCTACTTGGGGGAGGTGCTAAGATACACAGTGTAGTGGGCAAAGAGGAGCCCAGCAGGAATCCAGCCAAAGACACACACTTTGGTGAAAAAAAAAAAAAAAAAAGACTATTTTCTCACATAAGATATACATGTCTATTTGCTCACTGGATGCTCAGTCTGAATGTTGTCACACCAACTCATACACTTATTTTAAAAATAGTTTTCTTTTTTAAATTCTTTTGGTGCTAGGGATGAAATCCAGGGCCTCATGCATGCTAGGCAAGCACTCTACTACTGAGCTACACTCCCGCGTCCTCACTTTCAAACACTGGCACGCCTATGTACACCACCTCATGTGCTTCAGGACACAGTCATGATGAGGTGGAAGGTTCTTGGCTCTCCTACCCTCATCCTGTTGACCTACTAGCTTACAGACAAGATTATCAATGCCAGCAGGCTCCAGGCGCCCACGTAGCCAGGTGTGGGCTGGGCAGAGCCTTGTTTGTTTGTGGTTGTCCTTGGTAACCCTAGATTAGGTACTAAATAGGAGTAAGTGAAGGCCATAAAATTGCTCTTAGGAAGGACACTCAGAGGAGCCCTGGCCTCTGTCAAGAGAGGGACAGGCCGGTGAGGGGGGGGGGTGCCATGAGCCAGCAATCATGGCCCTTGGCCCACAGACCATAATTCTTTCCTGGAGTTTTCTGTAGCTGCCAGCCCCACCCTACTAACTGTCACCTCTTGTCACCCAGGCTCCTGAGGGAGCTCCCATCAGGAGAAGGGTGAGGCAATTGGGATCCTCTGTGAGGGTTTGTACTTGGCCTCCCTGAGTGTGTGCCACAGCCCTTTCTCAGCCGGCTCACCTTTCTGCAGCTCACTCAGCACCTCCTTACAGAGCAAGTGACTGTGCCCTGCATGGGGGAAGCGGGGACTGTACCCTGCACTGCCCCAGCCTCATGCACACCCATGGAGCCAGTTTAGCTCAGCTGCCAGCCCAGTGAATACTGGGTGGGAACACCTGCAGGACTGTCCCCTGTGGATGATGGGACCTTCCCTCTGTGCCAGGTCCTTCCTCTAGTCCTCAGTGCCGGTCTCAAGGGCTGCTCAGTTTTCAGGTCCATTTGTGGCCTGGGGGCGGCACCCTGAGAAGCTAAACAAAAAGAGGCGTAAGGTCCTTCCTGCCAAGGAAGGTTCTACTAACCTGGAGGTGACCGAGCCCACAGTGCTTGCTCCTGTCAAATGAAAGAAAAGGGCAAGAAAACCAGAAGCAAGCAGGTGACATGCTGCCCTTGCCCTATAACCCAGCTGGCTGTGCTCAGGAGATGCCAGTCCTCAAAGGTGGGATGTGGACAGGTTCAGAGGTCAGAGGGTCTGTGTAGTGGTCAGCCATTAGTTCCACAGTTTCGTGGCTCCAGTGGTTAGGATATGGGGCCGTCCAGAGAAGTTGTTTGCTGCCTCCACCTTTCTGGTTATGCTAAAGGATGGGAGGTGACACCCAAGAGCCTAGCAAATGCAGGCTAGTGACATGGACACCAGTGACATGGCTTGCTCACTTCCTGCAGTTCCTTAGTGGTGCTGAACAGACTGGCCTGAGCACCAGAGCATCCTGGACCGGGCAGCTTCCATTTACGGTTCTAACTGACCAGCTGTCCCTTTCTAAAGGAGGAAAGTGAGGTGGAAATCCTGCTATCCACAGCCAGGTACTTCCTGTTCTGGAATATGGTGGACTGCATTACTGCGCTCCACCTGGGATGTGAAAGGCACAGAATATACTGAGCTTCTGGCTGCTGGGGTTTTTTTGTTGTTGTTGTTTGTTTGTTTTATGGCAGTACTGAGTTTTTAACTCAGGGCTTCAGGCTTTTTTTGTGCTGGGTTTTTTTCAGATGGAGTCTTGCAAACTATATCTCCAGGCTGGCTTTGAACCGTGATCTTCCTGATCTCTGCCTCCTGAGTAGCTGGGATTATAGGCATAAGCCACCGGTGCCTGGCCTGGCTGCTGTTTTTCAAAATCAAGTGTATGGCTTAGTGCTTTTCTTTCCATTTTTCTTAACAAACACATTTCTAGACAATGAATTTAAAATTTATGGACTATATTCTTAGGATGGTTTTAGATTCATATAAAAATTTAAACACACTTTCATATATAAAACAACTTGCCTTCCTGTGGTACTCAGTGTTACACTTCAAGAGCTAGTATGGATTTCAAAGCCCACAGCTTACCCTGAGGTTTGTTTTCGGGCGTTCTTTCCATGGGTTTGGACAAATGTTAATGACATACATCTGCCATTACAGTGGCATCAGAATAGTGTCACTGCCGAAACCGTGTGCTCTGCCTGTTCCCCTCGGCCCTGGTAACCATTAATCTTTTATTTTTGTTTGTTTAATTATTGTTTCCTTAGTTTTGTCTTTTTCAGAATGTCACATGTTGGAACCATATGGCATGAGGCCTTTTTAGATTGGCTGCTCCCACTTCTTAACTGACATTCAACTTTCTATGCCGCTGCTTTTGTATCACTGAATAATTTCCCACTGTGTGGGATATACATAGGACTTTTTAAAGGCTGGGACTCTGGTTCTTGGCACATTTTTGTCACCATGTATTGAGGCACTGGGATGTATACATATACCTGCATTGCGTGGGTTCTGCCCTTGGGGCTGTGATGAGTCACAGGGCTTTATTAACCATGGGGTCCCCTTGTCAGTACCAACACAGTCCTTGAAGGTTCTGTCTGTAATTGTGTTTTCAAAGTCATGTGTTTTGTTTTTGCTTGTTATTTATTTAGGTACTTCAATCCCTCATCACTTTGTCAGACTTTAATGTGCACCCATAGAACCGAGGAGACACAATGACAATGACACGTCCTGCTTGCCAGCTGCTTGTGTGCGTGCGTGTGTGTGTGTGTGTGTGTGCACAGTAGGGGTAGCAACTTATAGGAGAGGTTGGGTGCCAGGAGAGAGGACCATTGTTCCCCCCCCCAAAAAAAGAGTAAGTCAGAGTCCTGGGGGTAATAGCATGTCCCAGACGAATGAATGACCATGTGTCACCTATTCCTTGAGGAACTTCTAAGTAAGATAAGCAAGCAGAGTTATAAATAGCAAGAACCAAGGTCACACTGCCGTCCACTCCAAATTACAGCGACGATTAGTCATAACCGTGGTGTTTTCCCCTCCTTTCCACATTTTCACAAAACTCTCTGAGAATTGAGGTGAGCCAGGGGTCCAGAGTTGGGTGTCAGGAGGAAGCTGAGGAGTGAGTCGGCTTGTGGTCATTTCAGTCCTGTTTGCAGGTGCAAGGATCCTAGTCAGCCTCCTGGGGAAGCAAAACCCAAGTCTGATCCCTTCCACACATGGCTGCCCTTTCTATTTAGGGGACTTCTGTGTTCCTGTGAGCAGAGACCCTGCCCCGTGCCAGCACTCTTCTGAGCTCTCCAAAATAACTCTTTCTCACCTTTTTTTTTTTTTGGTGGTACTAGAATTTGAACTCAGGACCTCAAGCTTGCTAAGTAGGCACTCTACAACTGAGCAATCCAACAGCCCTGTTTTATGTTGAGTATTTTTGAGCTAGGGTCTTGTGAACTATTTGCCTTGGGCTGGCTCCCTTCCTTCCTTTCCTTCCTTCCTTTTTTGGTGGTACTGGGGTTTGCATTCAGGGCCTCATACTTATTAGGCAGGTACTCTACCACTTGAGCCAGTCCATAGCCTTTTTTTTTTGAGATTTGCCTGGGCTGGCTTCGAACCACAATCCTCCTGATCTCTGCCTCCTGAGTAGCTGAGATTATAGGTGTGAGCCACCAGCCTCCTGATCCCTTTAAGCACATCTCCTGCTTGGGTTTGAGCTGTGGTCTTAACCACTGTGACTGTCTTGTTGCCAGCTCTCTGTTTTTCAGAGGAGCTGGTAGAGAATCAAAGGACACTCCTTTCCACTGTCTTGTGTGCCGAGTGGAGTAACTTGGACTACAGTTCCTCTGCAGGACAGTCCATCTGAGAGAGAAGCGTGTCCCTGCTGTGTGTGGGGAGTGAGGGCAGCTTGAAGACCACCCTTTAGGACCTTACCTTCTCTGAGCCCAGTGCCCATGCTCCCCAGGCTGGGCTGGCTCAGATGTCTCTAGCCTGGGCACCCACTCGTTCTTTGAAACTGAAGGTGAAACTCTTTTCAATAGGATTGCAACATACTTTTCTTGGAGGAGGCTCTGATTTTTTCTGAACTTCTCCAAAAGGACTTGAACCTCCCCAAAGTTAGCGAAAACCTTTTAACTCTAGGTCTGGTCAGTCTTGAATACTTTGACTTTGTGACAGTGAGTGCCACTTGCCCTCAGTCAGGCTGAGTTTTTCCTGAGTGAACTCTTGCTTATCTGTTTCTCCTCCCTTTAAGGTGGTGACTCCTTGCTGCATGCAAGTTCACCTGGACCAGGTAAGTCCTTTTGGTTTCTTGTGGGGCCATTTTATCATCCTGGTAGGTGGGACTTTCTCCTTTTTTCCAGCTCTGTCCTCTGGGGACATTTTCTAGTCCTGAGCTGAGGAGGGCTCCTTGGCTTCTCTGCTCTTATCATGTGTTTTCTTTAAGAGGAGAGAATTCTTGTGCTCTGTGACAGGAACCACGTTAGGATTGGTAAAATTTACCTTTGGCACTCGATTTCTTTGGTCTGAGTTTCCTTAGTTGTCTTAGTGATGAAAACACGCTCTGAAAGGACCTGTGTCACTTGGTGGTGGCCGTGGGGAGAGCATGATGCAATGGTTTTTGCACATTGGCTCTGACAGATGCCCTGTTTTTATCTGATTGAAGGTAAACTTACAATGACACTTTCTCTTTGGCTTAAGCTTAAGTAAATAGGAATATCCAAGCTGGGTGCCACTTGTAATCCCAGCTACTCAGGAGGGCAGAGATCAGGAAGATCGAAGTTTGAAGCCGGCCTGGGCAAAATAGTTCAAGAGACCCTGTCTTGCAAAAACCTATCACACACACACAAAAAGACTAGTGGAGTGGCTCAAGGTGTAGGCCCTGAGTTCAAACCCAGTACCACAAAAAAAAAAAAAAACTGTCCTCTTTTTAAATGAAACACCTTTGAGTGTCACACAGTAAGCTTGGCTCCTCTAGTGACACCTATGGGGGCCCCATGTACCATGCAGGACTGTAGGATGTTACAAATCAGAAGTGACTTGTAACTGGGGAAGTCAGCGTGGCAGTCTCTCACTGGGGGGGTGGCAGGGAAAGTACCTGCTGTGCCAGCCTCACCTGTGAGAAGGGGACCAGGTATGCCTGCCACCTCCTCCAGGCTGCCTGGCAGGTGTGTTGCTCTGATCTCCTGCCATGCCCTCAGCCCTGGCTTTGCTGTACACAGCATTCCCATAGTTCTGCCAGGAATTTTGCCCATCTACCCACCTCCGTGTCTCTGTGGGCTGAGTCCAGAGGCATCCACTGTCGTGTGGTGTGGTGTGGTAGAAGTTTCTCTGAGGGCTTGGCGGAGAGGCAACTCTTCATAAAGCAAGTTCGGATCCTGGCCCCCTCACCACTGAGCCTCAGTTTCCTTCTTTACCCTAACTTCACTGACAACCAAATGAAAGGAAAATGATGGTTGGTTGGATGTGTCACAAATGTCCCATTCATAGGCTGGACTCTATTTTTATGCTCCTTTTAATGCTTCTGGGAAGGCAAAATGTGCATTTCAGATCATAGGAGGGGTTACAAACTCACTTAAATGTCTATAAACTATGAAATCATGTTGGAGCATCAAGAACTGCGGTCCCCACCCAGTCTGCTCTGGGTGCCTCAGCCCCACCCTGGGTGGCCGGCCACCCCATCACTCCTCTGTGGAACCCACAGCGAGGGAGGCCTGGTGCAAGTCTGCATAGCACTGGGCTTTGACAGGTTTCTCTTTGTCTCTGTGACTGAGGGGAGCCTGAGGGATGCTGCTCTGAGACCATGGCTAAAGCCTACTTTCTGGGCAGTTGGACTTTAGGCTTACATCTGTCCACAAGTCCCCAGCTTAGTCCTGCAGGAGGGTTGTGGCTGTGGGTCAGATCTAACCTCTTGTTACTTTAAAAAAGTGCTTTAAAATTTCTTTGTTAGAAACTAAGACACAGCCCCCACATTCCTTACCTATGCCTACCCAGGGCCAGGACACCTGTATCACTGTCTCCCACCTCCAGAAGGTATTCAGAGGCAGTAAGACCCCATGCATTTGTCCTATGACAAGGCCTTTTCCTGGATCTCTCCTGAGGACCTGCCCGAAGCTGTTTTATAGTCAACATTTTATTTATTTGGTGGCACTGGGTTTGAACTCAGGGCCTCACACTTGCTAGGCAGGCGCTCTACCACTTGAGCCACTCCACCAGTCCTGTTTAGTGTTGGAGTTTTTGAGATAGGGTTTCTTGAACTACTTGCCCCGACTGGCTTCAAACTACAATCCTTCTGATCTCAGCCTCCTGATTAGCTAGGATTATAGATGTAAGCCACTGATGCCCGGCTATACTTTAAAGTAATGATGAAAAGTGTAGCACAATACACGCATAAACAATGAGTAACCGTTGCTTACCACCGTGCAGCATTACCGTGGTAGGTCTGTTTACACACTTGTGAGAGTGATTCATTGAATTACTACATTAGCTTGGCTTCGACATTACCAGGGGATCCGTAGTTGAGACTGCTGTCATGTATGTGGTCTGTGGTGGATCGAGATGTCATTATGCAACAAGTGACCATATATGAGGTGAGTATACACAAGCCCACACTGCACTAAGCTCTGTGACCTTTTCCAAATTGCTTTGACTGGCCCTAGACCAGCAATCTTAGCGTGGCCTGGGACCTGGTTAGAATGCATGTCCCCAGGTCAGCCAGACCTGCAGACTCAGGAACTTGGGGTCTGGGGCCCAGCCATGTTCTCCAACAGACTCTTGGTGGTGGAGGGGAAGTTGATGCTGCTCATTGGTGAGGATTTCCACTGTGAGCTAGAGCTGGTGCAGGGGCCACCTGTGGGTCACTGCTCTGGTGTGGTCCCCTGTGTGGCACTGTGAGGCCTGACACTGGGCTCCCTCACAATTTCATCCGATGTGTGGCTTTTTCTCTAAAGCATGGTAATGCTGTCTTCCTCCCGCTGCAGTGGAATAAACTGAAGAGGGAGGTGAGGGCCCCCATCCTGCAGCCTCCCTGCCTGGGCCTGTGCTGGGCTGATCAGCAAGGGGGTGGGGCTGGAGTGGACGGGGCAGCTCGGGATGGGCGGGTCTTCCTCCTCTGCTGGATCTTGGGTAGGAGTCTTTTTTTATTTATAAAAAAGTTATAATAATTTGATATGAAAATATAGATTCAACAGACCGTTTTCTAGAGAAATATAGCTCGGCAAAATGTATCCAAGCAGATACTGAAAATGGACGTACTTATACCCACTGAGGAAACGCAATCAAATAGTGGTGAAGAATCTTCTTAAATAAGACAAAAAAAACCTGAAGTCTTAGTGACATGACCAAAAAAAATCTGAAGTCTTAGTGACATGACCAAATTAACAGGGAACAGGTTATTCTTTGTTGTTATTTTTGGCTTGTTGCTGTATTTGTTCCTTTGTTTATTTATATTAGCATATTGTACTGGGGGTACATTGTGACATTTACAAAAGTTATTACAATATCTCATAGTTGAATTCACTCCTCCGTCATTCTCCTTTATCCTCCCTCCCCCATTCCTGCAACAGTTTCAGCAGGTCTCACTTTTACATTTATGTAACATTGCACAGTGTCTCTTCTCAGGACAGAAGGCACACAGTCCTCTTTTCTCTCTGGTCGTGCGTGGCCAAGAACCTGGCATGGGCCCTGACAGTTTGAATTGGCATGAATGTACTTTTAGGTGACACCTGTATCCTTGCATGTCACCTTGGGAATCACTGGGCCTGTGTGGGTCCTGGCCAGGTTCTTCAGAGCAAGTCTTATTTTCCTTGGTCGCCGTTCATTGATCACTTGCTGTGTGTCAGATGCTCAGCCCATGGGGCTCAGCAAAGTGAAGAAACTCTAAGGTCACAGTCCCTGAGGGCCTTCCACTAGTCTGGCCTTGGCCTCTCTACCCAGGTCTGTGCACTTTCTATACTTTTAGAGACAAGACCCATTCATTGGTGCTGTTTCTATTTTCTTTTTTTGGTGAAATTGGTGTTTAAACTCTGGTCTTCAAGCTTGCAAAGCAGGCACTCTACCACTTGAGCCACGGCTCTAGTCCATTTTGCTCTGATTATTTTGGAGATGGGGTTTTGCGAACTATTTGCTTGGGCTGGCCTCGAGCCTCGATCCTCCTGGTCTTAGCCTCCCAAGTAGCTAGGATTACAGACATGAACCACCGGTACCCAACTTGCTTCTCATTTTTGTTGCATTTGTGGAATAAGGATTATTTATGTTGGAAAAGTCTCTCACATCCTATTAGCAGCACTGGAGAGGGAATTGGTGGTTATTTAGTGTCACTGTGTTTAAGGCCCAGACGTGGTGTTTCTTTCTGGATGTGGGTGCCCTATTCTCAGAATATCTCTGTGAGGTGGACATCCTGGGGACAAGTGATTGGGAGCCTTCTCAAGGTTGTGTTGCCCATGGTGGAACATGACAAGCAGAGGTCCTGGTGTCAGGTGCAATGCCTCTGGGCCTTGTCACACCATCCCTGGTTGTAGTACTGCCTGAGCTGGTCATATGAGATATGACAGTCCCTCACCTCTGATCTCACATGCTGTTGGGGGTCATGTTGACATCGTTCTCAGGCTCTGTGACTCGTCAGTCTTCCAAGTAGAACACGTGTGGATTGCTTGGTTTTCAGATGTGGCAGTGGCTGGTGGTTGGTTCTGGGATATGAATGTCCCTGAAGGTGCCGCTACGCCCTGCTGTCTGGATCTGGCTGAGCTCCTGCTCTATCCCATGCTAGTGACTCTTCCTCTGGCTCATCCTGTGTAGCAGGTCTGCAGGTGTGACTTAAGGACTGGGAGCCCCACTGAGAAAGGCCAGCACCCATCATCCCTGCTGGGAGCTGCTAGGTGTGCCACGATTCCTTTAGCAGTGAGGGTTTGCGGCAGGGCTATTTTGAAACTATGGCATAACTTTGTCTTGGGCAGAGAGGAGGCAGTGAGTGATCTGTGCTGTTGGCTTTCCTTCATGACCCCTGGAGTTGTCATGGTCTTTGTGTACCGATCCTCTGGCTCTCTACCCAGGATGCCTGTTTTTCTCTTTCTTTTCTGGAATCTTTGGTTTATCACTGTTTTTTCTTCTTTTTTTGGCAGCACTGGAGTTTGAACTCAGGGCCTCATGTTTGCTAAGCAGGCACTCTTACCACTTGAGCCACTCTGCCAGCCTGTTTATCACTGTTGCTTACAAAAGTGGAACATGAGGTTAAAGACCAGGTATGAGCAAAGCTGTCAGTCAGTGAGGCATACCTGCTCTTGTAAAGGTTAGCCT